CCGCGTCCTCCTCGTGTGCCCCCCCCCCCTCACCCCCGCCATTGCATCAATCGTGTGGAGCCCAAATGTTCGATATTCGATTTCAAGCCTTCACAACGTATGACGCGGGCCTGGGCGGCGATTTAAAAATAAGATCTATCGCTATCGATATCAATTTTTAAAAAAACGCATTCGATAAAATGTTCGATATGAAAAGAAGAAAAAACAAATCGGAAGCCCGAACCCGCCATTGTGCTTTTTGAAGGCAGCGCGCTGTCGTCATCTCCAAACACGAAGAAGCGGTGATTCCACAGGTGTCAAACTCAAGGCCCGGGGGCCAGATGTGGCCCGCCACATCATTTTAAATGGCCCGCCGTCGTGGACCAAAATTTCGCATTTTCAAATGTAATAAATCAGCGAAATATTGTAAGCAGGACGGCCCGGATGGAGATTCCCCGTCTCAGACTTGGCACCATTGTTCTTTCGCCTTGTCCGACCCTCGCCATCGCACTCGGGGGCGCCTTCGGAAATACTTCTCCCAGCGTGCGCCTTTGATGAAAATATTGTTTCGTCTGCGTCGATTCAAATCACGTTTGCAGCTCGAGCGCCGTGTCAAAAACGGCGTCAAATAAATTGCCGAACGAGACGAGTCTTCGCCGATGACGCAATGTAAACGACTCAACGAACAACGCCGCTTTTGGGCTTCCTGCAATGACGCCTTTTGGAGACACGAGGATTCCGGCCCACCGCCGCGCTACGAAGGAAATGACGGACGGTTGGAAGGACAGGCGAGCGCCCTGCTCGACAAATTTAAATTTTTACACCTCAATAAAACAGACGGAAGTGTCACCGCCATTTATAAAACACAAACATCACTTCCTGGCCGTTTTATTAACTGGGAGCGGAGGCAGATCCGCATCCTCAGCAGGGAGGATCGTTTGCTGCGCATCATAAACTTGCAGATGGCAAAAGCGGCGCGCGTGCGCGGGCGCGTGCCTTCGTGGGCGTTTTTATCAGCACAGAGCAGAAGCAGCTGTGACAAACCCCGAAGACAATGTCCCTCCGACACTGAAATCCAGCACTAAATATGCCGCGTTACACTCGACGCACACGACATTCAAGCTTCAAAGCGCTAACGAGAAGCCGACGCTAAGGAAGAAAAAAAAAAGCTCTCCCGTGAGGGTGGTGCAAAAACTCGACTCGAAAATCGCCACTCGGACGACGAGGTTGCGGAAAAGCGCCTTCCGCAACCGTGAGACGGTTCAAGAGTGAGAATGACATGTTTATAAAAATAATAATAATAATAATAATAAAATAAAATTTTAAAAAGCGGCTGACATTCACTCAAGGCGCATTTCAGAATTTTCTGACCGCGAGTAAATGATTGCGTTTTAGTTTGAGGTGGCAAAAAAGCAAAACTGTTCTTTTCACAAAAAAAAAACCACAAATGTACTTTGTCCGCTATTTGGTCAGAAACCGGTGTTTTTGGTGAAACCGACCCATGTTCGACTGCCGATTACCAAAAAACAGCCAAACACCAACAAACGTTTTTTTTTGTTTTTTTGTCTCTGGTGAAATTTGACTGTTTTTTTTTTTTTTTGCTAAGTTAGGCGCTGATTTTGTCAAGGAGAAGAACATTTTGGCGCATCTCAAAAGCTCAGTCGAAACGCTCCTTGCGTGGAAAGCGGTTGCCAGGCAGTGAATTCCGCGACATCCCCGCGCAAAGTTTCCAAGTTGAAAAACTTTTCTGAAATCCACAATGTAAAATGAATGAATGGGTTTGCGTTCCTCATCAAGCGAGCGGGGCAATCCCGCTTTGGTTGTGTCTGAAAGGCGCATCCGCTCTCTCGTGCTTAGTTTGACAACCCCAACTCGTCCGCGTGGGTCACGCCTTTGTTTGAAGAATCTCAAATTTGTGCCAAAAGCCTTCACGGAAAGTCAGCGGACAACTCGAGATATCCGATGTACACAAAGTCGGGCGAGAGGGAGCGCTGAACGATTCTTGACCGAGCGATCGACGGACAGCGGCGCGGGGAAGTCGACGCCCTCACGCCAAAAGGTGTCTCCAAACAAGCACCTCCCACAAAATCAACGCTGACAGTCGTTTGCTTTTGGTCTTTGAGGTTCACAAAGCCACGCGGCCGTCTCGCTTCCAAGCCGACACGTCGTGGACAATGATGATTATTAATAGCGCAGGCGCTTTATGATGTCGCTCCGACTTGGCTCTTTGCCGGTGGAAAACCGTACAAACGGGTTCTTTGTCAGAACGCGTTCAGCACCGACACCAAGCACAGCGCTGGCCCTGGTGCCCAGTTTTAGAGGTGGGGGGGGGGGGGGGGGGGTTGAGGGGGTAGTGATAGCCATGGCCCCTCCATGCCCCGAAGGATAAAGGTCGAGCTCCGCCACCGACCCCACGATGTCCACTTCCTCAGGTTTTGGTGTTGCCACACAATCTCAGAAGCAAAATTGGCCAAGCAGAGCCCCAAAAGCGAGCGGCAGGCGGCTCCCGTCCAGGACCAGCGATCGCCGAGCCATTCGTTGCCTCCCGCTGGGTCAAGCGTCCGCCTCATGGATTGAATTCTGCGGGAGGCTCATTTGCATGTTGAAATCAGGCAGCGTAACTTGGCTCATTAACGACTTCCCCAGCGGGACGCCGTGACGACAACAACAACAACAACGACAACATGGCTTCTTTGCAGTCTTGGGTGACCCACTGCAGGCGGCGTTCCCCAAGCTGACCTCCGCCAAGACGTGCTCTTCATGTGTGGCAACAAGTTGGACGTCCTCCCGCTTGCAACCTTTGAGAGATTCGCTATGACGTGGAGTATACAATACAGTAACCCCCCCCCAACCCCCTCCCACCGCACCCTCCCACCTCCATCATGCGCGGGGCTTACGTTGCAGAGCACACCCCCTCTTCCCTTCCCCGCAATAAGTGAAATCCCACATTCGCAGTAAAGGCTCCCCAAAGATATTTCAAAAAAGACAAAATTTTAAGTCCACAAAAAGTCCGCAAACGGTCTGCGAAAAGCAGCGAAAGTCGGCAAAACAACAGCGAGTCACATAGAGCAACATATACAGTACTGCATGGAGTACTATGGGGGGAGGGGGGTCGCTACTTCGCGAATTTTCGTTTATCGCGCATGGTTTCGGTCCCCATTAACCGCGAGAAACGAGGGATTACTGTATTACTACGACTTTGTTCTGGTTCTGTTCGGCTCTTTGGAAAAGTCACTTTTTTTTTCTTAGAAATGTGTATTTTTTTTCTTACACGTGCAATATTAGAGAGCTGAGCTCCTATATTCCGTCTTTTGGACATCGCGGACTGACAAAACAAGACAGCGAACGTCCAACTTGGGAATTCAAACTGGGGTGGACGAAGACAATCCAGTAATTGCAAAAGCAGCAAGCCGAAATCTTCTGCAAAGTGGCTCTCAACATGGCAATGCAAGGAGAGTGCGGTGGAATTGTCAAAACGATCTTATTTCAGCCTCGAATTTCATCGCAGATCGAGGAAGAAACCACAACGGTAACTTTTTGCTTGTGTGAATGACCCCGCATGCCGAATTGCTTCGTCGGGTTCGGTCAAAAGCGGAGACATTTTTAACGTAGGTTCTGTTGGCGGCAAGGGGGGGTCGACTCACCTTCTGCTGCCGCCGGGCCATGTCGGTGGGCTGCTTGGCGTTGAACGGGTAAGCGATGCACCTCAGCACGAACACGTAAATCTGCAATTTGACTTTGTGCTCCTCTTCCTCCCGCCGCACTCGCTCCCGTTCTCGCCTCTCCTCTTCGTCACCTGTGGAGCCGCGGCGGCGAGCACTTTGCTCGGCGGCGGTGGCGGCGACTCCAGCCGCGGAGGACGAGACTCCGGCTCCGGCTCCGGTGGCGGCGGCGGCGGCGGCGACTGGTTGTCGCTGATTGTGCGGCGGTGTGTGCTGTCGCCGCCGGCTGCCGCCTGCTCGGCTCTTGACCGCGGAGGAGCCGTCTGCCCTCCCGGTGGGCTCCCGGGCAACTTCCGGGTCGGACTCTCCGCCGGTGTCTTCGCTCGAGGACGGCTCCAGCATGGCCGCTGCGTCGTCAACTCACAGCGGGAAGCGAGTGCTTGTTCTTCGCAGACTTTGCTTGTCTTCAGTTGACGTGGCGTCAGCGGAGCGCTCGTCCGAGGCGGCCAGGAGGAAGTGGCTTGCTTCGGCTGGAATTCGGGCTGGTTGGCTCCGCGTCGCGGACGCTTCGTTTCGCTTCGGTTCGGTTCGGCTCCGTTCCGTCCCTTCCGCGCGGGCGCGCCGTGTCGGAATGAATGCGCGCAACC